GCGCATATCGTGTTCACGGTCTCTGTTTTCGGGAATCGTAACTCGATGTGCAAATAGGGTTTCCAACTACTATGATCTCGTGCCTCTAGTGATCTAAAAAATGGATGATCTATCATTTTTTAGCATCATTCAATTCTAATAAATTTTAAGAAATTCAACTCTCATAATAATTCTAAAATGTGGAATTTGAGGATCGTTTTTTTTTTTTTAATCAGTTAATCAATGAATAACTTTTGATTCGAAAAAATTTTGGATCGTTTCATCGTTTGATATACTTGACTACTAAAATAAAAAGTAGATTATTCCGTGAATGTAGTAGAAAAAATCTTTAAAAAATTTTATTTTATACGTTTATTATAGAAAATTAAAAATAGATTATTATAGTTAGGTATTTTTTTATTATTTAAAGTCAGACTTTAATATTTTAAATTAAGGCGATTATGAAGATAAGTAGATGGACATTAGTAAGCAGCATTCAACATACGGTAGATGCTTGGAGAGAATTTTTAAGCAACGTAGATTAGAATAATCTTTTAGATATGCGGACTATAATAAAGGAAATAGGTATGCACATAAATCTATTAAATATTTCTACCTACATATTCGTATGAATAAAAATATTATTTCCTTCGTACAGAATAATAATATGTTTGTAGAATATGTTTGTAGAATGATATCAGTATTAAAATAAAAACTTCAAAATAAATATAAAAATTGATATATAAAAATGTCGAATGAAATTTAAATATTTATTAAGTTTTAAGTAATTTAAGTTTATGTTATATTACGTTGCGTTATGAAGTAAGATTATCTCATTTTATCTTCAGTTTATTTTATTTTTATTTTTATTTTATTTTATTTAATGCAAAGTTTGCTTATAATTTAATAAATCAATCTCAATCAACATTTTTGTATATCTTTTGTATATCTTTCTATGTTGCTTATTTTTAATATGTTGTATATTTTTATTTTTAAAATCAACTCCAAAAAACAAAAAGAAATACAAAGATATATTTTAATTCTTTTTTTTTGTATTTTACGTTCTTATATATTAAGTTTTAGTTATACATTTATAAATCATTTTTCGTAAATCAATATAAACATATTAGCATAATATAATATACAATATTAAATTTTATTAGTTAATTATTCTTATATAATTATTAATAATATTTAATAATAATAAATAAATAATGAAATTGAGTGTTAAAATATAAAAAAATATATTAAAAAATGGGATTTTGTTTCTAGATTTATGGAATAAATAAATTAAAAATAAATTCATAGAGTAATTAAATGAATGTATAAGGTTTTATAATATATGAAAATATTATTCATTTGTTAAGTTAAACCCACAGATCAAATTAATATAAGTGGAAACGTGTTCTGCGTGATATATACAATAGAATTGAGAAGATGAAAAAATTATGATTTTGATAAACAATTTCAAATACATGAAACATAAATGTTTATAATAAATTCATTTTATAAAAATGGTATATTCTCATCTGGATTTAATTATTCAGAATTCTAATGAATTAATCTGTATTATTGCATTTAGAAATAACATATTTTTATTTTTAGTCACTATACTAAAAAAATAAACTTTAAAATATAAAAAATATAAATATTATCCCTATGAAAAATGTATAAGTAAACTTATATATTAGTAAATGATTTATCAAACTTTGTGATCAAATTGCATACTTGCAAAATAAATCTTATTGGCTATTATCATAAATCATTATCATAAAGAATAAACGATAAAAGTATTGACATAAATAACTAATTAAAAATTATAATAAATTACAATTTAAATTATATAACAATTTTATATTATATAAACTATAAATGAATTTTAAAGTCATATGCGAATACATTAAGAATAAATTAATTTTTGCATTCACAAAGCATTTATTACTTTCTTACTAATCCAATATTTGTTAGCACTTTTTAACTCTAGTATACTCTCTTTTTCCCCTTTGGTCATATACCAGCGTATTTTCACCCTCTTCATAGCCAAGGGCTTTCCCTACCGAAATATCTTCTTTCCCTATCTCTTCTATGAAATAAACACGCATCCTTCTACGACGTGGAATTATCGAAGCGATCCTCTGAAAATCTTATGTCTAAAAATTCCATGCGATGCTCGACACAATAATTTTCATCCACTCTATACAATTCTATGTCCATTTCTATATCCAGTCTCTACAATCTCTATATTATCAGCGGATAGAGAAATGAAATGACAGATAAACGATCAATCACTCAACAATCAATCAATTTATCAGTAAAGAAACAGCAGATGTCAGATGATGTTGGATTACGAATCGTTCTATGAATGATGATTTTCTCTCTTTCCAAGATTTATTTCGCGAAAATGTCGAATCTTGATCATGATCTTTCCCCTAACAACATGCGCGCACAATCGGCGAGCAGAACTTTAACTACCTGCCGTGTATCGATTAAACGCTCACCTTGACACAAGTTGTTTCCACGAAGTTGACCGTATGCGAACCCTCACCGTTGAACTTTACAATGTCGAGACGAAACGTTTATTTTCGTCTCTCGATCGAAAACATTACATTTGCGGTCACTTTTTCTATGAAACAATTTCAACCGGGAATCTCTCCTCTTTGAGAAAAAAATAAGTGAAAGGAATAAGAAATAGGAATAAGAAATAAGTTAAAATCAATTGCGAGGTTAAATTTATAATTTTATTACGTAAATTGAAAACAAAAGTGACAAAGAGGAAAAGTAATATTTTAAATATTTTAGAACATAAAAGGAAGGAAATTATATATGAAATTATTAATTTTGTAAATCTTAAATAATTTAATGAAATAAATTTAAAATAAAAATTAGTAATATAAAACAATGTAATTTTTTAAAGAGTTAACATAGAGTTAACATATTAATAAAAAAATAATATAGTTATAAAAATCTTATAACAAATGAAATTTAAAATTTCGTTTTTTATAATTACAAATTTCATTGGGATTAAACATCGAATTCAGTCTAAAAGTTTTTTAAGCTTTTTTTTTTCGAATTTGTATTTGGCATCTAAATGATATTATTGGGATTACATTTTATCATTTATAAATTTCAAATTTCTCATATTAGATATACACATACAACAAATTCGCTACTTCACTTTTAATCATCATATCGTAAATATATCATCATATATAAATATATCTATTTCAATATCCATTAATATTCTGAAATTATGATTATTATGATTATTATAATAATTTGTAGTTTCTGAAAATCATGAAATAAACTAGAATCCATATAAATGTATATATTTGATTAGAGTTAAAAAGATATTAAAAAAAAATAATTAGAAATATAATAATCTTCTTAAATTATTTTATGTTTATTCCTAATTCTATTATTCGTTATTTTTATTTAAAATTTTGTATTACAATAAGATTAAACAACATATAACTATCAATTTCAAAATTCATTATTATTCTCATTTTTATTTTTATCTCAATCACTCACTATATAAAAATATATGAAATATATTAAATATATATCATAAATTGTAATTAAATAAATAGATTCTTTTGTTTTAGATGTCATTTACAAATGTCAGTGTTATCATAGATGATAGTGCGTCATATAAAATAAACCGATGCTGGTGCAAAACTTACATAAAAAATCGAATATAGATTATTTAAAAATGATAGGATATTCGATATCAATGAAATAAAAATATAATATGAAGTGATTAATTAACATATATCGATAAAATTGTTGAGAAAACAAAAAAGAAACCAACAACACACGGTGTTCCCAAGCAGTTACCCATCTAAGTATTAACCATGCCCGACGTAGCTTGACTTTGGTGATCGAACGAGAACCAGTAGTTCCTACGTAGTATGATCGTTGGCCACAAGTAAGATGATTTTATTTTAAAATAAATTGTAAAAAGTTTAATTTAAAAACAAAAATTTATAAATAATCAATTAATTGCATTGATTTATATGACGCACTATGTATACATATATATTTTTAAGTCTGTAAAATTTAAAAAAATATGCAGAAATACAGTAAAAATTAGAAACAAATAGCCAAGATAAATTTAGATTAAATAATCAAAAAAAGGAAATATTTTTTTTTATAAAATTTATTTATTAATTTTTACGTTTCGATTATAATTAACCTGATATATAATATCAATAATAATAATTGTTTAATAACTACCTATCAATCTTAAAAAATGAGGAAATCTACTAAAAAAACTAATTATAAAAATAAAAAAAAATATACAAGATTGGCGTGAGGATATGATTATATTTGAGAATAAAATTTTTGAGAATTACTATCAGATTATTTTGTATATAATAGATATTATATTGAGAAAAATTATTATGAAATAATTAATTCAATGTCCTTTAGTGAAAAATAACTTTCGATTAGTAACTTTTGAAAATTTTATTCTCAAATGTATTCGTATTCTTACTAAACAATAAACACCGAATAATCGAAATCCTTAATCAAGACTGTGAAAATAAATGAAATTTTGAATAATCAAAATACCGAATAATTGTGAACTACTCAATCCTATTGTATTTTATCTTTTAAAAAATGAAAATAGAAACTTATTTATATTAGAGAATATTTACTATGTTATATGTCCCTAAACATTAAAAATTATTTTTTCTTATTTTCTCTAAATATTTATAAAAAAATAAATCAATACTTAATATAACTTTAAAAAATAAAGAATCAAAAGAAAAAGTGAAAATATATAATTAGACATTTTTTTTGTTAATATGAACTTTTTTTGAAAAGTTTCTTCTGGAAACTTAAAAGAAAAAAGTTTTATCTTGGGAAAGAATAATAGAAACAAGCGAAGATTACCCTTCTACATGAAAATATATCTTAAGAAAATTTACTTTATTTGAATACCTATTTCACCACTACCTGTATAAATCTGCAAAACTTCTTTCAAATATAATCACTAAACATGCTATGCTTCCTATTTTCAGAGCTCTACTTTCCGCAGTCGAATTTGACCGTAAGGATACCGTACCTTCCGCGAAATGGAGAGGAATTTTCGTGGAAGTTGAAATTGCTCGAGCTGAGGACTCTTCGAAACGATTCGTCCGAACCAAGTCACGCAAAGTATCGCATCAAGGTACCCCACGAACAAATTGCTTCGATAGATACCGAAACGAACACTCTATTGTTGCACAATCTTTCGAAAGAAGGTAAGTAAATTATGCTTTGAACGGGTATATTATGGTATTATGGTGTTTCGATGCTTAAAGATACATTTGAAAATCATACGATCGTGGTACTGGCGAGAGAAAATGGCAGCAACGAAGCCATATTGGAAATCAAGGTGAAACCATCGCGTGTTAATGGAATGCATATTAATTGCACAGATTACGTTCAGGTAACTAGAAATTCGTTGAATTTCCATCTGCACTATCATTCATAAGTATCCGAATGTTTTGATCAATTTGAATAATAGTACAATAGAATTAATACAATAAAGAACAATGATTTTGTTTGATTTGTTTGAAACATTGGATTATCAAATATGAAAAATGTATATGGATTATGTTTAATATGATAGTAGATGATAATGAGAAGAAGAAAAAAAAATAGAAAAATAATATTGATAAGAGGAATAATATAATAATATATATAATATACTAAAATAATATAATAATAATATATAATAATATAATTATAATTATAATTATAATANGCAATTTGTTGAATTACTATCAATTCAATAGGGCAAAAAAAATAAGATATACATGTATATATGATATATATAAAAATTATTATTATAAAAATTAATATAAATATCTAAATCATATAAATTTCTTATCTATAGGAAAATAAAAATCATAGAAATCATTAGAATATATATAAAAAATTATGTATTTATATAAGATTATCAGCCGGATTATTGAAATTTTATTATATTATCTATTTAAATTTTAAATTTCATATAAATTAAAAATGATAAAAACATATTAAAATTATTTGTTATAAAATTTAATTAATTAATTAAAAATTATCTACATTAAAATAATTTATTATTATATTTTATTGTAATTTTGTATTTATAAGATATTCCATTTAATGTCTCCACTTTTAAATATTAAATTTTGTCAATATATTCTATAGAATATATGTCTAAATAAAAAAGAACTTTTTATTATATATAGATCAAATAGAATTAAAGAACTATATAAAAAAACAAATATAAAAAGGACAATTAATTAACAATATTAATTTATTAGTAACTATTTATAATTTGAAATCATCAAAATAATGCAATCAATTCATTTCAAAATGGCCAAATATGTTTTAGCAATATGAAAAA